TCCAAGACCCTAGAGAATTGATCAAAACAAATTCAAATCTTCACTATCTGGGAATACTTGAATACCTGTATAAATAACACTAATCATGACTCCGATGTTCTTAAGAAGAAGATTTATGAAGGGTTTTTCCTCTATTTTCCATATTAACCTATCATACGTACAGTGTAAATTGTGGCTCCATAAAACCCCCAAGGGCCATGATTTGAACAATTTAGAATTTACACAATGTCATGAAGCTTTCACTTCAGTTTCATCTTTTCGGGCCTAGTAGTTTTTGAGAAGCTTTTAAAATATATTTTCTTGTATATTCCCATGTTAAACGTTGATCCGCTATTGTTTTCCAACCCTTCCCCTAGAGCATGATTCAGATAATTTAGAATCTACATTATTTCAGAAAGCTTTCACCTAAATTTCATCTTTTTCTTGCTAAGTGGTTCTTAAGAAGAATGTTTAATGACCCCACCTATCTTTTGCCTTTTCTTGATTATTTCGCAGTCGAAGGGTGTTTTGCCCTTCATTTGAACAATTTTGAATCTTATTTACCCAAGATGCAGTGCAAACTTTTGTCTGAACTAGCCTGGTGGTTTACGAACGGACAGCCAGCTAGACAGTCATCAAATAATGTATGATCATAAATGCCTGTAGTACTTTAAAAGCAATCGGAAAATGCAATCCTAACAGTTCAAAGGGAAAAAAAGTTGGTTTTAAATTATATTATAAGATCAAGTGCTATTGGATCTATCATGCAGCAGAAGGTTGTCAAAACTATCATTGTGTTGACTTCACCATTTGATCAATGAATTGTAAGGCCTTCTGTATACAAAGTATTCGGTCTGTGAAAAATCCTAATGAGACATTAGAAGTCTGAAATGATTTCCTTTCTCCCAATTGTTTGTACTATTCAGATATCCACAAGTCACCATTGTTGTGCTGCCTAAAATGCATGCACGAAAGGTTGATGACACGATAAAGAAGATTTCCCAGGCAATAGATAAGCCAGATTCATTAAAGCTCACTTTACTTCTTTTAGTTTACCTTTTACGGTTAGACACTAGGGGAACGTAATGAAACGGAAAAAATGGGTCCACATAGCTGAAATTATTTCCTCTAATGGACAAAAGTTCATACGGTGGTAATGGTAATTCTACGGGGCTACATTTCCTGCAATATGTATTGTAAAGTAATATTGATTTGTCTGGGGCTTTAAAAAAGACTTCTACATGGAAAAGGATTCATTTGTAAAAACCACATTTTTCTCCCGCTATCGCTAAAAGGGGGGTTATTAATGTGGGTCTGTTCGTCTGTCTGTCTGAACACTGATTATATCTCATAGTCCGTTAGACTTGCGTTGAAATCTTATATCAATACTCCCTATGGATTAAAGAAGATCGCACTCCCTATTGGTTTTGAGATAAAAGTTGAAATGTCAAGGTCTAGAATGCATTAAATACAGCTGTGTTTGATGAAATGGTTTTCAGATATTTTTAGCTAACCTATATTGCTTCTACTGTTTCTAAAGAAAAGCTTGTGGATAAATTCTCATAACCATCACGTTTTTTTTTGTTTTTTTGTTTTTTTGTTTTTTGTTTTTTTTTAATTACAAACTATGGTACTATTTCTATTTCTTGGGCTTTCAGGGAAAACAATTCTATACAACAATAACATTTTATTTACAAAAGTACAAAAAAAATCAAAATGGAACTAGGGCTCCGGTGGTGCATAGCTAGGTACTAGAGACATCAGACATCACTACCACGTCTCCAAAAACGAAGTACAATATTCTAGGTATTCCCCCACGTCCCACCGTGTGATTCGAACCCGCGACATAAGGGTAAACTCCTTACTCCGTGATTCTAGAGCAGACGCTCTACCACTGCACCACGCGGGCGACAACTACGCTTGTATTTAAATATACAATGGTTGTCCGGTAAAATCGTGCACAAAGCCTCTTTATCAAAAAATAATGGGCGCACTAAGCTGAAATTTTCAGTAAATGTTTATTTATCATATTTAAGTACATCTTAATTTTTTTGATAAAATATGATTATGTTAAACTTGAACATTTACAAGGTACGGTTCTACAGCGCACGATAAAAAAATCCGGGTTTCATTAGAGAATACGCGAGTATTCTTTCGAAATAAAAGTATTACATTGATATGGTTGGAGTAAAAGTTATCAAATTTTTTATCCACTATCTATTGTGTCGTCATTTGGAAAATTTCAATGCATTTGGCAGTTTCCCAAGCATTTGAAATAGGAAAGTGGTAAACACAACATACGAAAAATGGCGATGACGTAACAGCACACTGGAGAGCAGTTCAGTTTGATGTATATGTAGTAAAGACGCCGTAAAACATTTTAAATGACTACAGTGGAAAAAATATATATAAATATCACTAGATTTTAAATATACAAAGGAAAAGAGAGTTTTCTAAGCGGAAGCTTTTAGATCGAGTCCCCGGGTAGAACAAAATATACGGACAAACAGCAACTGGCAATAACGAAAGACGCTGTCACTGTAGACCGTCGACATAAAATTGCCTATTTAGTTGAATGATACCGAGAGTACTGTCCATATCTCACTAATAAACTCGAGTATGTGCATCAATGAAATTTCCGAATTTAAGTGGGGCTTATCCAACTTGTTTTAGCAAAGAGGCCACACATAATATAAAATCTCATATTTTGTTTATTTGATCATATATCTATTTGAAATTACCTATGTATATTCATGAAAAATGTACTAAATAGTGAAAATTTATGAGCGCAGTGATGATTATTTTTCATTCTAGGCAACTTTTCCACGATTTTACCGGACAACCCTCGTATAAACCAGTATCAACACGGGGAATAAAAATCACTTCGCTATAAGCGTGTTTTACTGTAATTATTAAAACATTAAAAAAAATTAAATTTTCACCCCATTTGAGAGATGATTGTTGTAATTAGATCAGTGAGTCACTTTCACGATAAGCATTAAAAGCTTAAAAATACTTGACTCCCAAAAATCAATTGGGCACACTCGGAGTACCTGTGTGTAGAATCAGAATCGCTTTTAACAAAGTAAGTTCGTAGATGACCAGTGGCATTAGATGTCAGTTATTTTTGAACACTTTAATTGATGTGGAATGCATTTGTGCATTTCAAATATAACCTTTACATTTGTTTGACCATTTGATTGGTTGTATGTTGTTTAACGTCCCATTCGAGAAATTTTCACTCGCGTATAGCGTCATCATATGCCGGTGAAGGTCTTCAAATATAGACCTATATTTTGCACTCAGGGCATTGATCAGTATAAGTTCTTTATCGTGCAAACGCCTTCCGTTACAATGGTTCGTACTTCTAATTCCGGACGCTTCACGAAAGAACAGTCAATACCTATGTTTACTTCTTAGGTTTGACGCGGCGCAGCAACCGGATCACGAAGCGAACGCCCTACCATTAGGCTATCGTGACCGGTGTTTAACCCTTTGTATAATAATTAAGGAATGAATTTGCTGCTGTAGCAACTCAAGTTAATCTGCATAACCCGGGTTGGGGTAGTATTTGCTTTATAAACCGCGAAGCGGTTTATTTTAGGAATGACTCTAATTCTTGGCCAAACTATTCGAGTATAACCTGGTTTGGGTCAGTTTACGCTGTTTTATCCGCGAAGCGGATTATAAAACAGCGTAAACTGAACCAAACCAGGTTATACTCGAATAATTTGGCCAAGAATAAAAGTCATTCCTTAGAAGCAGATTATAAAACAGCGTAAACTGGCCCAAACCAGGTTATACTCGAATAATTTGGCCAAGAATTAGAGTCATTCCTTATAATTTAATTTTAAAATCATTAAATAACTATGGGTGTAAAATTTCGTTGCTTTTTATTGGTTCAAATTTGCCGCTCAATAATACAACCTTACAACGGAAGTGATGGGAAGCGAGGGGAGGTTAAAACTTATACATAGGCCTAGCAGCCTTGTTGTTTGTTTACATGTAGTAAGATCGAATTAATGTTTGAAGTTAAAGGTACATTTATTAAATCTGGATTTTTCCATGAATCCCGAGGACTGGAAATGAGAGGATTGTATGGATACAAATGATTCAGCTGGTTGTCTGGGGTGTGTGTCCCCATACCAAACCAGGTTATACAGAAATAATTTGTGTTCCTTTTTGGATATTAACCAATCAGAGGTTAGAATACAAACAAAATTAAATTATAAAAAAGTAAACTATTCCAGTCAAGGTTGAACAAGTGTATTTAGGGTAGCTATTATATTTTCCTTACAATTCAATTTAATATCATTTGGTTTAAAAAGCCCTTTTCCTTTCATAAATTCAAATTGTACAAATTTTGAATGAAACGTCAAGCGGATTGATAGTACGTTTTTGACGTACGAGTCCTTGTGACGTAGGCAACATAGGTTATACGTTATAAACTTTTTTTCTCTCCAATCAAATGCTGCATTACAATCAGAATTAAATTGTAAGTTGATAGACAATAAAACTGTTTTGTAACGTTATGACGTGAGTTCTGTGGTCAAATTAAAAATTAATTTATCTATGTTTTAATAAAGCCCAATTATTATCCTTGATTTAAGCATGGAGACGTTTCTGAATGGATGTCTTGATTGAATACAATATGCAATTGAAAAAAAAAACACAAAAAATTACATATCGTTGGGTCATGTTTTCCTCCAATTGTTAGGCTATTGTTTTTATACAAATTTGACTACGGATAACTCCGTATACCTGATCAGAGGGCTCACGGGGAGTGTGACCGATCGACAAGGAATCTTTCCTCCTCCTTGACACCCGATTCCACCTCTACACTTTCCAGGGATCCTTGTTTTGCACTGTTTACGATTCAAATTCTTTATTGGGTTTATGAGATTGATTAATGTTCGTTATCGTTCGTCTTTTATACCCCTCTAATCCACCTCCCTTTAAAAATATAGTGCATGTCAACAATGAATGACTTTAGCATTTAGTATGTAATATATAACACAAAAGACGGGAAAAGTGTTTATTGAATCAATCTGCAAACTTCCACCAAAGCAAACTTAATGCACTTGATTAGTTTTGCAGTTACATTTACGCTATATTCTACTTGACTTTTGCGAGAAGCGCTGACTTTTACAGTTGACGGTTTGCTTTGGCATTTAAACCTGCGCTATGTATGGAGGTACGGAATTGTTAATATATAACGAAACCTTACTAGCGGTTAAAGGTATAATATTAAGAGTGCTAACAAGATACACCGGTATACAATCAACACAAGAGATGAAATGAGGCAGAATAACATAACTTAAAATACTTAATTCGTGAGGAATAGCATCTACTTTCAATCTCATTTTCTGAAGAAATAAAAAAAAAAAGGAAGAAAAAAACATTCCGAAAGGAAAACATGGCAGGGGTTAGTGATGGTTGGAAGGGAATGGGTTGCGGACAGGGAGGTTGCCGTTCTCTTCCTAGAAAACGGTATATGTGCTTTGTAATGGCCCATTATGACCTTTTAATTTACTTTTAATCTAAATATTTATTATGGTTCCATACATTGTCCAAGTGTAATGCCCTCGACTGTAAAAGTCGCTGCTTCTTGCTAAAGTCCACTAAAACGACTTCTCGTATTTCTTGTACATTTGATAAAAGTCAATGGCTGTGTGGAACAAATAGAACATGGTTACTGGGTACAAAACATCATTGATAGCTTTCCAGTATTTGTCTCCATATACTTTTGATTCTATTGGCATGATCTTTTCCGTGTTTTTGCCAATATAGCTATCTGCAATCCACATTATAACACGGATAAGGAAAAAAACGTGGAACATTTTGTCAACTGAAATACACCCGGTGGTTCTGAAGGAGTGAACCACACGCAATCTTTGTGATTTCAGAATGAGATATGTTTGAATTACGACGACAAAGATTTCAAGAATTTTTTGAAGAATGAGAAATGTTGCGATACTGGAGTTCTCCTCATTTTCAATAATAATGCCCGCAACTAGTCCAAATGCAAAATGGGACACCGTACCAGCGGTACTCATAAGGAGAATAAGTTTCCCATCATATTTCCTGTCTGAGATATTTTGCTGACCAAATTGTACATACCAGAGATAACAAGTTATTATTATTAAGGTCGTGAGTTCAACCTTAAACAGGAACTGCACAACTCCTAGACCAAACTGTAGACTGGCTTCCTCATAAGCATTCAGAATTATTGTAACCAGAATGGGAAGACAAATTATGAATGCTGCTAGAAGACAACAATAAAACGAAGGGATTTGGAACTGATGCTGATCTTTCATTTCTGTTTCTAGAGCTGGAGTGTTGCGCTTCTCGATTTTTGCTGTTGTACCGAAATAATGAACACATAGCAAGGGTGTGCGCTCCGTGTGTGTTGATTCTAAATCTGATGTTGGTCCACTGTTGTCCAGAAATGATGCCAATCTTAAAACCATCCCCACTGCAAGAAGACCATACTCTGTTGACATAGGTTCTGTGTACGGTATGATGTCCTTCTCGAAGTTTTTGAATTCAGGACTGTGAAAACAAGTGTTGTTGGTTTCATTCTGTGGCATAACATTTATCAAATCATTTCTTGCCAGAGTAGTAAATATCATTTCAAACCATTGGACTAAATGGGTCACAATGATGGTTGATAGTCCAAAATTCACCATGCCATCAGCCTTTAATTTGCAAGCTGAGTAGGAACTCAAAAAGCACAGTTGAGTGATGGTGAAAGAGATTTCGGAAAAGTTTGTAAAAACGGACAAAAATATTTCACCAGCAAACATTTGTTTTGATTTGTGTTGCATGCAATAAAATCCAACAGCCAATTCTAGTGTAGAAGAGAAGATCCTGGCAAATCCAAATATCCAAAGAAACAAAAGCTTAGGTTTTATAGCAACATCTTCTATTCTGTAAGCGACACCCTCCTGTCCTGTCGTACGTAATCTTTTCCAAATCACAATCGTAATAATGGTACTAACTACGCTAGTAACAGCTACAATACTCCAGATAACTGGATGGTTGTCATGGAAATTTGAAGTTGTTGTTGTGGCAACGATGATTACTACAATACAAATGGGTAAACAACAAACGCACAGAATAACAGAAGCTGACAAGTGAAAGGAATTGCCACTTCTTGCTTCACCAATGTCATCATACACATTATGGTAAAATGCAGTCGGCATCGTTGTACCTGTAATTTCAAAAATTTAATTTATTTTCCATATTACACAAAAAGATTATAATGAAAGCATTGCATTTGTAATCAGTATAATTCGTACTTGAATTCATAAGTTTTCAGAGATGAAAGTTAAAGGTGATCAAATTGAAAGAGTGAAAAGTGTTAAGGTTTGTTTACGAAAAAAGAGCAAAATGAAGAGTGTTGAATTTTTAGCTCACCTGAGCTGAAAGCTCAAGTGAGCTTTTCTGATCACCCGTTGTCCGTCCGTCCATCTGTAAACTTTTCACTTTTCCAACTTTTTCTCAAGAACCACTGAGCCAGTTTTAACCAAACTTGGTAAAAAGCATCCTTGGGTAAAGGGGAGTTTAAATTTTTAAAATGAAGGGCCAAGCCCCCTTCCAAGGGGAAATAAACAAGAAAAGACAAAAATAGGGTAGGGTCATTAAAAAAATCTTCTCAAGAACTACTGGGCGAGAAAAGCTGAAACTTATGTGAAAGCATCCTGGGGTAGTGTAGATTCTAAATTGTTCAAATCATGACCTCCGGGGGGTAGGGCGGGGTCACAATAGGGAATCCAAGTTTAACATTGAAATATGTAGAAAAAAAATCTTGAAAAATCTTCTTCTCAAGAACCACTGGGCCAGAAAAGCTGAAACTTATGTGAAAGCATCCTGGGGTAGTGTAGATTCTAAATTGGTCAAAACATGACCCCCGGGGGTAGGGCGGGGCCACAATAGGGAATCCAAGTATTACATAAAAATATGTAGAAAAAATCTTTAAAAATCTTCTCTTCAACAACCACTGGGTCAGAAAAGCTGAAACTTAAGTGGAAGCATCCTGGGGTAGTGTAGATTCTAAATTGTTCAAATAATGACCCCTTGGGGTAGGGCTGGGCCACAATAAGTACTAAAAAGGGGGAAATCAGGTGAAAAACAGCAAAACCAAAGTTACTCAGGTCAGCGTTGTGGCCCATGGGCCTCTTGTTTTCTTTGCAATTTTAATGTCATAAAAGAACATTTCAGATATGAGTATAAATACGTACGAGTGATCAAAAAGAAAACAAAATCATCAATATTAGCAGTGTTAGACTTGAGCAAGCGTACCTTATTATTTCAATCACATTCATGAATGTACTTATCAGTAAAGACGCTTATACTTATTCACTTATTATTTTCAAAAGAATACTTTTAAATTAGTATTATACTATATACTGCCAAACCGTGAATGAAGACAAATAGCTATAGGAGATAAATTTATCAGCAAACCTCAAAAGGATTTTACATTGTTCGTTAAGCATTTCCTGAAAAAAGACAGGTACATTCCATTGACACCCCTTCATCTTTCCCGATAAATAAACGACTTAATGACCCCCTTACGCCACCCCGATGTTACTATTACTTATTAGGATATTAGGTTTATGAGATTGATTAAACCGATATCATTCTCTAGACAGTCAGCAACAAACCTAATAAGTGATTCATTTTCTCGAGGATCATAGTGTGACAGAAACACAAGAAAAACCCGTAGCAACTTTTATCTACAAAAAAAAGGGGGAGCAGCCTCAAAAATTGGCAAGCAAGAAAAAAAAAACTGCCAAAATAAGGAGGGTAGAATCTTCGTCTAAATTTTTGGCAATTTTTTAATCCAATATCATGACACACTTTCCTTCCTACGGCAACTATTTTTGGGGGGTGGGTGGGAGCGGAAATGCACGAATGATATATAATTGTACAGGAAAAGACTTCTTAAATCAGTGGAAGCTCCCCTCCCCCAGAGCCATGGAAGCTGCAAGAAGTGATGATCAGGTTGATTGAATACAGCATACAGCTGAACTTCGGTATCTCAAACATTGATATTTCGAATACCATGAACATGTCGAAGTGAATTGGAAGACCTAACCACGTATTCTTTTAGCATATTATTGTTCGTAATCTTTATATTTCATATACGTAGAAAAGTAACGGCTAAAAATAAATCTGGAAAAATTTGTTTTTTGTTTAACGTTTCCATCGAGAATTTTTCACTCATATGGAGACGCCATCACTTGCCGATAGAAAGCTGCAAATTTGACCTATACTTGCCACTCGGGACCATTGAGCAGTGAAGGATCTTTTTCCCAGCACCTACTGCGACACGGGACCTCGTTTTATACGGTCTCATCCGAAGGACCGGTCTCCACGTCCAAGAGTAGGATTCGAAACCGCAACCTTAGGATCAACTCCTTACTCAGCGACTCTAGAGCAAACGCTCTAACCGCTGCGCCACGCAGGCGACAATCTGGAAAAAAGTTCTAGTTCTATATAGGTGTGTCATCTCCTGGGTGAATTTCGCTTTCTGTCCTTGACAAATGTCCTAAAAAACGCATCGTCTATTGAGCAGTGAGGGATATCTTTTCCCAGCACCTACTGCAACACGGGACCTCGGTTTATTCGGTCTCATCCGAAGGACCGGTCTCCACGTCCCACGGTGAGATTCGAAACCGCAACCTTAGGGTCAACTCCTTACTCAACGACTCTAGAGCAAACGCTCTAACCACTGCGCCACGCGGGCGACAATCTGGAAAAAAAACCGTTCTAGTTTTATAAAGGTATGTCAACTACGGGATGAATTTCGCTTTCTGTTCTCGACAAATGTCCTATAGATGTGTCTTAAATGTGTATTGTAAAGGCTTCAAGCAAATACATGTAGCTAAAGTATCGTATCTTAGGAGAATCATTACTGAAAAGATCAGAGTTGGTAGAATTCGGGGAAATAGTGAAAAAAGGTTGAAGCGAGGAAGGGGTCCAAGATGGCGTCCTCCTTTGTGTTGTTTTAGTAGAATGTATATGATTTTTTTTTAAAAATCCCTTTAATTCAATGAAAATAAAAAATAACATACCTCCTGTAAGAAACGCAAAAGGTCAAGGAATACTGATATTCCAATCGTACATGAGCTAATAATGTGTCGCAATGAAAGGTCATGGAATACTGATATGCCATTGGTACATGTGCTAGAAGTGTGAAACGCAATAAGAGATCAGAAAAGGGGAAAAAAAAACGAAAACAACAGAGACTATACATTTTCCTCCTAAATAAACAGGACTCGAAATGAAATAAATCGAAATGTCAAATGTATAAGGTTACGTGTTACAATCTTTTTGAGAATAACATTGTATTTCTTGATATCAGTGATAAAATTGAATAGCTGACATACACATCACAACTAAAGTAATTATCAGATCACAGAAAGGAAAAGGACCGGGTCCCTTTAATTTGGTTTGAATCAAAAATATTTAAAACATGGGGAAGGGTCTTGTGAAATGAAGAATAGTAATATTTAAAAAGATAATATCTTGTTAGAAAGTTATTAAAAGATTACGAACATCATTTTTGAGACATTTAATCCACAATTTTGAACTCGTACCGAAATTTTCATTCAAAATATTATTCCTAATATAAGCAGTACCTTTTTTTTTAATTATAGCTTGTCCAAACAAATAAGATTTTAAGGCTCTTAAATATTTAATTGGCAAAGTAGATTTAATTTAAAGACTTTTAAATTGAAATAAATTTGGAAAATGAATCCCATCAGGATATTCACAGCAGTGCTTTATCGATAAACGTAATTAGGCAAAAATGCATGAAGTTAAAACTTACTAGATCCACTTTTTAATCCGATTAAGTTTTCATTTTTACGGTTTGGAAGTATTAATAAAACCTTCTCACTTTTTATACTTGTACAATTGTCTCGTGACAATGGTGAAGTAGGTGTTAATATTGAATACTTATCTCCCGTCATAAGAAATCTCTAAAATTAAGTGTCTCCCTCAGATTCCTATCATTACATCAACAAGAATTGGGTGCTTAAACTGCTCTGCCAAAAATAAATTTCTTATTTTCAATTCTAAGTTGTCAATTTTTTATCTCCACGAGATACACTTAAGGAAAAGATAGTTTCATCATGTATACTTGAGTATAAGTGTCTAAACGCTCTTACAACTTTTTGTGAATGAAATTATGATTTTAGGCGGAATTTCCTTCTTTTGGATAAAATTACAAGATAATAATCTCAAATAATCACCAGAATAACAGCTGGACAATTAAAGTGAGTTGTCTGGACACTGTGAGGTTTCAACAGATGTGAGAGAAGGGTAATAAAATGTGTTATCGGTGATAATTTAAAGCAATTTGCAGTTTAATTCGTGATAAATCATTTTTTTCTCTACTACTGTCTAGATAAAAAAAAAAAAAAGAATGGGAAATTACCATTAGTAATACTTTCTCCTTGTAAAACTGTTTCTTTAATTAGCAACTCGTGACAGAATAAGCCCTACTGATTTACTTAGATGGAATTATTAAAATTGCATCAATCCCTGAAATCTTTTCCAATTGCTGACATGATAATGCATGTTTATGTGCTAAGCTATGGAAAACTGTCCTTCCAATCGAGACAGGTATTTCCTGTTACACAACTGAACCATTTACTGTTTCAAGCAGTTTTGGAAATAACCATTTATGGATAAAGGACACAAAAGGAGTGGAACCAAAACTAACAACAATTCTGTGAAATTTATGTTAAACGATTTCTTTACTTGTGGACATCTTGCAGTGTTACAACGCACTTTGAAAAATTATGCAATTTGAAATTTTTTTTCAAAGTGCGTTAAATTTGGGACCAAGTTAACGCTCTATGAATGAAACGTGCGTTAACATCGACCATATTAACGACCATATTAACGCATTTTGAAAAGAAAAATGTGTAAGGCTTGGTCAATATTCTTGCAAATTTTGATTATATAATTATATATTATATATGGTTATATATGGTTGGATTATTTTCAGTGATGACGTCACTTCAGGATCTGAGATATAGATGTTTTAAAGTTTTTTATGGGTGTCTTGTTCCCAAAGGTTCTCGTAAATGTTATGAAAGGGAAATTGGTCTTTTAGAAATAATGGAGGAATGATTGTGTAATAGCAGAATTTCGTTTCCTTTTTATTTTATCTAGTCTGTAATAAAGTTCGGTAAATGTAGAGTTGATAATTGATGTTAAAGCATCGCAATTTTCTTAGGGAAAAGGGAGCAATTATGATTTTTCCATGGCCATGAAAATTCTCTCTCTCTCTCTCTCTCTAATCTATCTATCTATCAAATTCATCTATCTTTTGTGAACAGATGTGAAACAATGGTTGACTAATTTATTTATAGTAAGAAAAACAAACCTTAGTCACATTACTCACTTGACTGAAAGTTTTACCTTGTTCGCTAATAACTTTTTCTCAAAAAAAATCTTATAAACAAAAGTACTTCTAAATCTGTAATTTGATATCATAAAGGGCTAGACATGTCAAACAGCATGTTTTAATTACCCTGTAAATGCCTTTTTTCTGAGGAATCATTGTGGATACATTTTGAACAAGCATTCTGAGAGTATTGCATTAGCAATACTAGTCCCCTACCGGCAAGTGTAATCTGGTTCCCGTTAAGAATTGAAAATGCCATAATTCCGTCAAAAATCAATGGAGCGGAACGAAATGCAAACTTGATCTATAACTCATCAAGGTAAAGTCACATACCAAAAATCAGCTCAATATCTGCAAGCGTTTAGAGAAAAATTTCGGAAAACCCTGAAAAATTGAAAAGGTCGTAATTCCCTAAAAAATCATTGAAGTGGAACGAAATGCATACTTGATCTGTAACTCATCAAGATACACTCGCATACCAAAAATCAGCTTAATATCTGCAAGCGTTTAGAAAAAAAGTGCGGAAAACCAAGTGGGACAGACTGACAGACAGATAGAGGGACAGACAGACTCAGAGGAAACCTATAGTCCCCTCCGGTTTCACCGGTAGGGGACTAACAAGCATTCTGAGAGTATTGCATTAGCAATTATTAGTGCCCTACCGGCAAGTGTAATCTGGTTCCCGTTAAAAATTGAAAATGCCGTAATTCCGTCAAAAATCCTTGAAGCGGAACGAAATGCAAACTTGATCTGTAACTCATCAAGATACACTCACATACCAAAAATCAGCTCAATATCTGCACGCGTTTAGAAAAAAGTGTGGAAAACCAAGTGGGACAGACTGACAGAGGGACAGACAGACGGACGGACAGACTCAGAGGAAACTTATAGTCCCCTCCGGTTTCACCGGTAGGGGACTAATAAAGGTTATGCAACTCGGCGGAATATTAAACAGATAACCAACGGGCTATAAAGCTAACATGATAAGTAGCTTCTCAAAATCACATGTAGTTCAACATTTTACTTCTTAAAAAGAATAGTTCAAGAGCTGTATGAAATTGTTATCATTAAAAGGAACAAGACCAAATCGCTTACCAGAACAACTGCCCTTCGGTTATAAACTTTTTCCTTCGTGAAGAAATATGCATTTTTACGCTTTTTAAGAGGACCTCTTATTTTGTTCAAAACAAAATGTAATGTCAGAAACAAAAAAATAAATCATATTACTTTATAAAAGATAAAGAGCTGAGCTGAGGGACCTTCTGCCTGTGTTCTCGTTCAGGATAGATCAATTCATCAGTTTTTCGAAAGAAATATAATAATGCTGTCTACTACTAAAATCAAAGGCCAGAATTTTTGTTATATATATAGAAATTTTTTCAAAGTGCGTTTAGTGTCTCCATGGTTCGAAAAGAAACGAAAGTAGAAAATAACTCGGGAACGTAACGGACAAGTTTTGAAATTCAGGAAAATAGAGTAAAAGTATTTCATTTTTCTTTCACAAAGTGATATGGAAGCGGGATATATACATGTAAAGTTAGCCAAAGTAGTTCCGGCTGCCAAGTGCAAGTGAACTCCAGATTCTATTGATGCAGTTATCAAAAGAATTTTTTATCCGATCAGAATTAATTATTTTATAGAAATTAAATGATTATAATATAAAGGACATAATTTTATAAAAATTTATACGAACATTTTTTTAAAGCTCATGATATTCAGGTTACTATTAAGGCCTATAGACCTTTTGTAAAACGAATGCAGTCGGTTTACATTGTTTGTAATTTGTAAGATTTTCCCTCGTCAACGCTCGTACTTCGACAACATTTTGGGGTAAGCAGTGGAAAGCATCTAATACGTGCTTCCTGTAAGTTTCTTTATTTCATAAAGTCATGTCAATTAATATTTACGTAATTTAATACTTATGCATGCATTTTTTTTATGTAATTAATGACATATTTGTGGAAACGGAAATAAAGTGATGCTAATATTTTGAAGAGAAATTTTGACTGCGATTATAAAATCATATGCTAATGAATTCACCAAGCAGCAAAAAGATATTGTAAAAAAAACTATCATTGCGTTAGCTTCACCATTTGGTCAATAAAATGTAACGCCTATATTTGACCCGTGAAAATATCCTACCTTAGGATAATTTAGAACATTGAAACGGTTTCCTCGGTCAGAATTCCCTCGAACAAGCCAGATATGCACAAGTCATCATTGTTATGCCGACTAAAAATCGTGCATGACATGTTTATGTTGAAAGAGGGGAATTCCCGTCCTGGATTTTCAGGCATTAGACAGTGACAAATCAGTTATAAAAGCTCACCTACATCTTTGATATTTTACCAGTGACACTTTCAAGGTTGTATACTATGGAATGTAATGAAAGGGATAAATTAAAAAGATTCCCATAGCTGAATTTATTTTTGGTGGACACTTAAACAGTCAACTCGATGCATATTCTCCGGGACTATATTTCCTATGTTGTTGTAAGGTAATGTTGAGCTGCCCGGGCTTTCCAAAGAGCAATGAAAGGGGTAAAAGACCACATTTTTGTCCCCTGCTTTCGCTAAAAGTAGGAGGTATTAATGTTGGTCTTCCCGTCTGTCTGTCCATCATTTTTATTGCTAAGGTTTCCGGTTGATATGTCTAAAAGTTCTCACATTTAAACGTAAGAAATGACACCAAATTTACAGAACAGCCAATAAAGTCATGAACGAGTTAACTTTCACGTATACATTAAAATTCATGTTTCTAGTACCCGAAAGATTGTTTTTGACGATTTTACTTTCCAAAGAATTGTTTAGTGTACTTCCATTTAAGGCGAAAAAAGTTTTCTGAACTCATAGAAAAACGTATATTTGTTCAAGAAACCTTATGATTTGTATCGCAGATTTCATGCAACAAAAGAATAAGTTGCATAACATGTTACGAAAAATTAACAGCAAACAAGGTAGTCCATTGCGTAATGTGCACACAAAAGGTTACATATGACAGAAGTCTTTAGCGGATTTGCCCAGCTCATGACTAAAGCAGCAATAAGAGAAAGTTCTCTTTGCATGTATCATGAAAACTTTGTTCAGCAAGTTCAAGTGGTTAAGCTAACTATCAATTCAATTTTCAGATAATTTTAAAATGGATTGGTGGCATCAAATCAATTTTTTCCGTAATTGTTTCATTGCATCAATGAATGAAGTGTGTGAGAAAAAAAAAAAGAAACGAATGCTTGAACCCAAACTGATGACAAAAGGATTGAGAGTACTCTGACAAATAAAACAAAAACATAAACAATTTGATTAATGAAGCATTAATTATTTTAAGCACACAATCAAAGGTAGGAATCAATTAAAAAACTGTTGTGTTTGAGATTTTCTTTTCAGACTACAGGTTAGCTAAATAATTCATTTATACTAAACCAATTTTGAAGTAAGTTAATAGAATTGAATTTAAGGCTGGCGTTAAAATTGTTCAATTATCATTATTTTTTTTTAAATGCCCAATGAAAACATCATAATTGCTAGGTTCGTACTAATTAATATTTAACTTATGTTTAAGGACCTCCGCAATGAGTCATTGGTTTTTACTTATGCACATTTCTTAAAATTTGCATTTTATCAGCAGACAGAAATGACAAATCTGTAATTATGTAATGCTTAATCTTGTTATGCTGGTTATACATGTACAATGTTCGTGTCGTGCATGTGGATCAGATTTTTCATGTTACACTGCATTAGAAAAAACAAATCAATCATATTCAAAACTTAGTTGAAAATGATTATGTATTATTACATTAATTGTCAAACAAGCGACTTTTTTATTCTGTTTTATAGTTTTACATATGTTTGATAATAAAATAAATTTCGAAATGTTTTAGTCATTTTTGAAATTGAGCTGAAGTTCAACTATTTTCATACATCTGAGGTCAAACTCTTGGCATGATTGTAATAAGCATTGAGCCCTTTACCAAGATTGTGAAATTCATGGCCCGAGGGTCAGGGGTTCTGGTGCTAGGGCGGGGCTCTGTTGATATCATAGTGAATTTCTATTATTCCTTGAAATATCTTCTCTGCTCCTGGGTATTCAGCAAACAAACGAAATACATGGTAAAGGCGAGCCAGGGTGTCTCTTCCAAAATTGTGAATTTCATGGCCCCTGAGCCAGGGGTTCTGGTGTTAAGGCGGGGCTCTATTGATTATATAGTGAATTTGTATTATTCCTTAAAATATCTTCTCTGCTCCTGGGTATTAAGCCGATTAACCTAGTGCGTGGTTAGGATGAGCAAGGGTGCCTCTTCCAAAATTGTTAATTTCGTGGCCCCTTGGTCAGGAAAAGGGGAGGTTCTATTGATTATATATTGAAAATTACTACATGCTTTGAAAATGTTCTCCTCTGTTTCTGATCTTAATGCTCTCCTCTGTTTCTGATCTTAATGCATAGTTATGATAAGCAGGGTTGTCTCTTCCAAAATTGTGAACTTCATGGGTCAGAGATTCTGGTGTAAGGTCGGGGCTCTATTAATTACCGGTATATAGTGAAAATGCATTAATTCTTTGAAAAACTTCTCTTCTTCTGGTTATTAAGCTGATGAAATGATAGCATGGTTATGATGAGCAAACGTGCCTCTTCCAGAATTGTGAAATCGGTTGCCCTGGGGTCAGGGATTCAGGTGGGGGGATGGGGGTATTGATTACATCATGAAAATGAATTAATGCTTTGAAATCCTTTTCCTTTGTTCCTTGGTATTCAGTAGGCAAACTAAATGAATTGTAAGGATAAGTTAGGGTGTTTCTTCCAAATTTGTGAATTTCAAGGCCCCTTGGTTAGAGTTTGTAATGTAGGGGCTCTATTAATTATATAGTGAAAATACATTTATTTGAAATTTTTCCTCTGTTCCTGTGTATTAAGCAGACAAACAAAATCATAGTTAGGAAGAGCAAGGGCGCCTCTTCCAAAATTGTGAATTCCCTGGACCTGGGTCTGAGGTTCTGATGTTAAGGTGGGGCTCTATTGATTATTTATATAAAGGAAAATAATACGAACATGATTTTAAACAAGTTTATTATGATATTGGCGATTGTTGGTCGCGGCATTTTTAAAAGCAGTAAGGGGTCGCCAAGTGTAAAGGGCGACCCCAGATTACAACAAGCAGCGGCAAACAACATGAAAGCATATACATGTACTATTAATAAGCATAAATATGGCCGTTCCAGGTATACCGCGAACGGTAATTAACCTTACAATTATATTTTATGTATTTTACATAAACTTAACATGTATGTAGAGTTATCGTTCCGGGTTAACCGCGAATGTTACTCAATATATTTTTGCAAACAAAGCAATGCATGGATTAGTTGAAAGCAATGCACATTTTGAACAGTAACTGATCTTGTTTTAAGCGAGCAAAGCAGACTAGTTCATGAATGTGTTGAAAGCAGCACACATTTTCAAAGTAAATAAGTTTGTTTTAAGCAGAAGCAGCACAATGAATTATAGCATCAGTTGAATGGCTCGGCGCAAACTGAAACATTAGATGACACAACAGAAAAAAACAAAACATCAATTTCAATGGAATGCTATGCTGGAATTCTTCACGCGAGGCTGAACAAAATTAAAAGTCACAGCATACAAAGTCAGGCCAATGGAATGCCACGACGAAAATCTTCAAGTGAAATGAATCCTCTAGTCAAAACCTGAAATGATAGAGAAAACCCAACAGCAGACAAAACTTCCTAATGAACTCGTGATGCAAAATTATACCTTTACTCTTTACTTTTGGGAATGGGATGGGTAGGGATTAAAGAAAAACTGTGATTGCAAGTATATTTTTTTCAAAATTCTGTCTGCTACAAAATTCGTGTACCTTTCGTTTTTGGATCCAGGGCAAAGAGGAGAAATTTGGGATATTCAGATCCCGATCTAATTATTTTCCAGACAACCCAACTCAAATAGCAGGAAACAACTAAGTTTTCCTCATAAAATAAGCGCATCTATTCTTTAAATTAATAGATGCTATTATATAATAAAAACGTATCAGTTTTATTCTCTGTTCATGGTGTGCAATGAAGAGAGGGTTCTTAATTCTTTGAAAATCTTCAACTAAATGCATAGTTATGATAAGCAAATGTGCCTCTTCTGGGCCTCTTTTTTTTTTATTTATACTTCTTGGGACCCGTTACAGTTTTGTATTATACTCAGGTGACCGTTAAGGCCCTTGGGCCTTTTGCTCTTACAAAGATAACGAACTATTGACAATATAATAATCTTATTATTAGCTATTATTATATAATAATCTTATTATTAGCTAAAACTGATTACACAGGTGTTTTGCACTTCCTTAATTAACGTCCCATTCGAGAATTATTTCACCCATAAAAGAGACGTCACCGTATGCCGGCAAAGAGCTTCAAATAAACCTACACTCGGCACTCAGGGCCATTCAATTGTGAGAGTTCTTTATCGTGCCAACGCCTACCCTGACACAGACCTCGGTTTTTAAGGTTTCATCCGAAGGACTCGTCACTTCCAATGCCTGGTGTTTGGCGAAGAAACTCTCACTACCAATGTTCAAGTCTAAGGTTTGACGCGGCGCGCCAAACGAAAATCGAACCCTGTCTCCCGATCACGAAGCGAATGTCCTTCCACTAGGCTGGTTATCGTATTTGAACATTGCGTCGAAAATTCTGGGTCATTTTGGTGAATTTTTGCGAATTAAGATTTTGTTGGCCTCAAGTCTGTGGATTTTTTTTTCAATTATTTGATCAATCGCTTTGCTAATATATTTGATTCAAGAATATTAAAGCTGTATATGGCGTATCTGAGATAAAAAAAAAAAAATAATAAAACGAGAATAAGTATAGATATACGCATGATATATGTTATTTACGTTCAAAGTAAAAAATTCCCCGATTTTGAACTTGAATAACCTCACGTTTCTATAATTAAATTGACTTTAGACTTTGCCTTATTTAAATGTAGAGTCGGTAAATACATCGGTTATTGTTTTAGATTTTTAATATTTTCGAAACGCGATTGATTTTAATTTAGTAAACAGGAAAGTCCTATCTTTATTTAAAGTAAAAATGGACGGTACCAATTTTGATGCACCAGATTTAATAAAACACATAGAAAGATCTTTTTAATTTTGGTTATTTGAACGTACAAAATAGGCAATATATGAATTTAAGAGCTTAAATTATCGGCATTCATCATGCCTGTTTCGAGTTTGTAT